CGCAGTTTTTTAACATCGAAACTATGATCCACTTATGTTAGGATATAGAGTGAAGTTGGTTCCAATTTTTGTGCAAGATGGCTGCTTCGTGGTACCATTTATTGAATTATCCATTTCCCCCCATGATTTACAAGGTCTTACGTATTCTTAGTTCTTATACTTGAAACATATCACTTAGCATAATTATCTAAAAGTAGCCAACTTTGTTCATAGCCTGAAAATGTCTTAGTAATATCGTCATGTACTACTACTTTCCCAGAGATTTCTCTCGTATTTACCTTGAGATATCTATTTTTGATGAAATGAGCCAGTGATTCTTGTCAGTGGTGTAAATTAAAATACACATCTTTCCCAGGCATTGGATGGCCTCTGAAGAGGCCAGAGGCAGGGGATAGGTGGAAGCAATAAAGATCCATAGGAAGCAGAGCACAAAAATGGTGACCAGAGACAGAGCCTAATGTGGAATAGGGTACCTTGACCCAAATAAACAAACTAGGAGTTGAAGTATTTTAAACAACATAGATGAAGTGATGGTGAGCTGAGTATGCAGAAGAATTTATCGTATCCAAAAGGAATATTGAGAAACTTAACAGGAAATTATGAATGACTGAAAACTTTGCTATACAGAAGATTTAGTAATGCTTTTAGAAAATAGATAACTCGTTGCTGCCATCTAGTGCCGCTATTGTCTTTGAAATTTTTGCAAAGAAGGGAAATTTTGCATATATAGCATATTCAGTATATGGAATTGATATTTATGTTGAATTGAATACAAGGAGTTGTTTAGGTCTTAAGATACAGTAATAAAGGAAACTGTAAGGCAGGGTTCTGAATTTCCTAATCTGATGTAATATGTATTTTCCTTTGTTTCTAGTGTGATACAATATCTGGTAAGTCAAAGTGACAGCATCTTTAATTTTTTTTTTTTTTTCCTGGACCAATGGATAATGTGTTTTAAGTATGTGATCAGCCTATGTGGAGAGGTGGCCAGGGCTTGATGAAATAATTTCTCAGTAGAAACATCTTGGGCTTTGTTTACTTGTGTACTTCTGCAGTAAATAAACCAAGATAATACTGAAAACACTTGGGTTGAGTGGCACTGAGGACATGTCCAGTAATCTAATCTCCTATGCCTCAAGCTTTTTCCATCAAAGGTGGAATTCTAGTGACCAGATTAAAAAGCAATAATGCTGAAGGCTGGATTCCACATTTAAATTAGTCTTAGCTTATCTCTCAGGGAATTCCAGGGCTTTTGTAACCTGTTTGTGAACCACTTGAACCTTATTTATGTAAACAGTCTTCAGATAATGCAAAGTGCCATACCTTTTCCAAGTAGAACTACTTGAGATAAAAAGTCAATTTAGTGGAAACGGAGAATTTAATTTTTCCAATTTTTAGCTAGATTTGACAATCCAAGATTGGTTTGCCTCCATTAAAAGGGTGAAGAGGCATGGTAGCACCTCACACTTAGAATGAACAGTTGGAAATAAAATAGACAGGTTTGCTTCTATCCCAACTAGATAGAATTTTTACTTAATTTTTGCTTTTAAGCTGTGGCTGGGATGGTGACAGTGTGAGATAGAGACAAATTTCTGTCTCCAAGAAACTTTCTATCCTTCACAGTACTATTAAAACCTCAAATTACTTCTACTGCTTCAGGATAGGGCACATGATAAAACAGAGAAGCATAGCAGATAAAAACAGATTTTTGGGCAGTAGAAATAACTCAGTATTTTCCAGTTTTGTTTTCTAGATAATACAGGACTTTGGTGATCCTTTGATTAAAAATAGGAATAAGAACCTGAAATGAAAATATCATAGTATATAATAACATAAAACACATTTATCCATGTGTGTAATAGAAATTTGAGTGCTACCACTATGTTACCTCTTTTTTATTCTTTCTTTTTGAGACGGAGTCTCACACTGTTGGCCAGGCTGGAGAGCACTGGCATGATCTTGGCCTACTGCAACCTCCTCCTCTCAGGTTCAAGCAATTCTGTCTGCTTCAGCCTCCCAAGTAGCTGGGCTAACAGGCAACCACCACCATACCCAGCTAGTTTATTTTTAGTAGAGACTGGTTTATACCATGTTGCCCAGGCTGGTCTTGGAACTCCTGGCCTCAAGTGATTTGCTCACCTCAGCCTCCCAAAGTGCTGGGATTATAGGCATGAGCCACTGCGCCCAGCCTAATTTTAGGATTTTAAAGTCTATCCTTTTCAGGACAGAGCTTCTGTGTCGTTCAGTGTAAGTTTTAAGAAAGAGTTTGACTTAAATAGCACTTAGGGTTCTCATTTGTTGAAGAAATTTTTAAAGGATGTGACTAGGTTATGCTTTAAGAATTACAGAGTATTTAGCCTGTGCTACAACCTTCTGATTTACAAATAGTAGAAGAAACTGGAATATTTGGAACAGTATATTTGTTTGTTTTGAGACATTCTCACTTTGTTACGTAGGCTGGAGTGCACTAGTGTGATCTCGACTCACTGCAGCCTCCGCCTCCTGGGTTCAAGCGATTCTCCTTCCTCAGACTCCCAAGGAGCTGGCATTATAGGCACAGGCCCCCACAGCTGACTGATGTTTGAATCACAGCCTCCTGAGCAGCTGGGATTACAGGCACACGCCACCATGCCCAGCTAATTTTTTGTATTTTTAGTAGAGATGGGGTTTCACCCTGTTGACCAGGATGGTCCCGATCTCTTGACCTCGTGATCCACCCGCCTCAGCCTCCCACAGTGCTGGGATTACAGGCTTGAGCCACCGCGCCCGGCTGATGTTTGAATTTTTAGTAGAGGTGGGGTTTCACCATGTTGGCCACGGTGGTCTGGAGCTACTGACCTCAAGTGATACGCCTGCTTCAGTCTTCCAAAGTGCTGGAATTACAGGCATGAGCCACTGTGCCCGGCCCCTGCTACTACTTCCTTAAAAAGCTAGGAGAATTTGAATTGTCCTATCTACTCTTCACAGGATTACTCCAAAATGTAAACCTTTATGTCCAACGAGACAGCCTTATGACCAATGAGACAGTGTAAATATGACTGATGTTATATTTATTTATATTTATAAAGCCTTAAACTTAAGGTTGCTTCCTTTTTTTTTCCCTAGTTGATAAAACACCAAAATTCTTAGAAAAAACTGAGTTGCTCTAAAAGAAAAACCCTCTTTACAGTAACAGATAGGATTTTGTAAGCAAGATTTACGCTGTTTTTGTTTGTTTTTGAGGCAGAGTTCCGGGCTCGAATGCAGTGACCCCGTCTTAGCTTGCTGCAACCAACCTTTGAATCCCGGCTCAAGCAATTCTCATGTGTCAGCCTCCCAAGTAGCTGGGATTACAGGCATGTGCCACCTCGCTCGTCTAATCTTTGTACTTTTAGTAGAGATGGGGTTTTGCCATGTTGGCCAGGCTGGTCTTGAACTCCTGGCCACATGTGATCCATCCACTTGGCCTCCAAAAGTGATAGTATTACAGGCATGAACCACCATGCCTGGCCAAGATTTCCACTTTGGAATAATCCCCTGACAACTAGAAAACCTTCTAGAAGTAAAGGTAGTAACAAGGCAAGAAATGTGATCAAGGATTTTATTTTACCCATTGAAATTGTTGTACAGCTGCAAAAGGATGCCAGCCACCCGCTGCATGCAAGAACTGAGGGACTGTTACTAGGATTTCTAACAAGAGTCTGCATAATATGGTAAAAGCATTGCTCGAGAAACCACATCATACCACCTAGAGAGAAATTGTATTGTTGAAGCATCAATAACACCACAAAAAGGTATTGCCACTTGCAGGACAAGGTAGTCTTGCCAAAAGATTGCATATGAGGCTGAAAAAGCCTTTGGTCCCAGCTTCCAATATCAGGAATTACAGAAGAATATAGGGAAATTGTACTAAGAGTATCCTGGAAAATACAGACAAGGAAACTACTGGTCAATACCCTGGATTCTTCAACAGATAAACTTTAATACAGTAGAAGGGGAACTTATCTACAAAAACACTTTAAATGCCTCACATTTATTTTTCTGGAAATACTCTAATGTCTATGGTTATACTTTAGGCATTAGAGGTTTTTTTGTTTTTTGGGTTTTTTTTGACAGTCTTGCTTTGTCACCGGGCTGGAGTACAATGACAGTATTTCGGCTCACTGCAACCTCCGCCTCCTGGGTTCAAACGATTCTCCTGCCGCACCCTCCCGAGTAGGTGGGAGCCACCAGCTACTCCACACCCAGCTAATTTCTTAACTTTTAGTAGAGATGAAGTTTCACCATGTTGGCCAGGATGGTCTAGCTCTCTTGACCTCATGACCCACCCACGTCGGAAGTGCTGGGATTAGAGGCGTGAGCCACTGCACCCTGCCTGCCTTACTTTAAAAGTAAGAAAATACTAGTAAAGTCAGACTGGTGGTTAACCTTTGGTGAGAGCAAGAAGAGATTGAGAGTGGAATCAGCCCCATAGAGTTTGGTTAGGAGATTTTCCAGGGATGCAACTGTTCTTGCACCTTTACACATTTAAAATGTCCCTTGTGTTCACTCACTGTTGGAGCAGGTAAAACTTGGAAATTTTAACTGCTTTTCTTCAAATTGGTTCCTCTTGCTTTTTAATTAAATACCTATGGGGTATTTTGGTATTCTGGTATTTCTAACTCATATTCTCCAAGTTCCTTATTTATTTATTTTTTTCTCCCACCGTAGTTAATGAAACCATATATGCTGGCTATCAGCTTGCCTTTACTGTTTTGCATTTTGGAGTTTTGTTGTAAATGCTGTCTGTAGGATAGTGATTTTGCCATCTTGGTGTCTTCTGTTGGAAATCAAAGATTGAAAAACTGCTTTGCTGTTGCTGCTTCCTTCCAAGAATCCCAGTTCTTTTCCTGTAGATTTTTTTGTGTTAAACAGTATGGGCTAACATTATCTCTTTATGGAAATTTCATCTAAGGTACCTAGGATGAAGTGTGACTTAACATCATTTGGTTATTTCTAAAACTTTGGGAAATGTACCTCTTACATAAAATTTTAAAAATCAACATTACTAGAATTAAAAAGGAAGCTCTAAGGGGAGAGTCTTTGTTACTATTAGTCCCCTGGAGTTGCCCCAAACGTGGTACTCAGCACATGATTATTAAATATTTGACCCTAAAAATGAATTAGTTTTAGTGACTGTTCATGTCTTAGGAGGATACGTTACTAAGAGTAGAATTAATCGGTATTTGTGAGTACATCTGTCTTTACTGTTGCCTCCATCTTGAATTTAAATTCTCATAATTAAGTATGGGTATTTACAGCTATCTTACTAATTTTAGACAGCCTTTTGAAGTTGGGATTAGTATATTTCTAAAATAAGTAGTTGATGATTTTGGAGCAAATTAAAAAATAAGACCATAAGGAAAGTGAGAAATCATATCTTTAAACTCAGAGATGACAACCATTGCTAGCATCCTTTTACTCATGTTAGTGGATGCTTTTCTACCGAACTTTTCATGTGGGGATCATTTAGAGAATTAAGCTCTGATACACATGAAAAATGCCTTGGGCTGTGAAAGTTGAGAAGATGGTCATTTAAACCTGTTTCTGTTCAAAAGGGTATTTCAGTCACATTTGTATTTTTTGCAAATGTCCATTTGAAACATTGGACATCTGTGGTTTGGTGGGTTTTCTCCTTTATGTTTAGCATGCTGGTAGCTTATAGAGACCCTCAGCCCTGGTAATTTCTTCTCATTAAACCTATGGAGATGATATTTTCTATTGATACACCTGTTGCTTGTGAAAAATAATTTCTGAAAACCGGATTATACCTCTAGTTGTAATAATGGCAAATCTTTTTTTTTGTTCTTTATTTTTATTTTTTTAGAGGTGGAGTTTCACCATGTTGGCCAGGCTGGTCTCAAACTCCTGACCTCAAGCAATCCACCCGCCTATGCCTCCCAAAGGGCTGGGATTACAGGCATGAGCCACTGTGCCCGGCAAATGTTAATAAACTGGCAGTAATATCTGAAACCAGTTAGGCCTTTTTGCAGATTTTTGTTCTATTTCCTCTTAGTGTTCTCAGACTTTCTGGCATACTTAATAGCTGAAAGGCTGCTGGTGGTTTTCAATGGCAATTGTTTGTTAATTTTTATTGCTTAGTCTTAAAATATTAATAACTTTCTGTAAAGGTATACTTTAGAAACTAACAGACTTTTAAATTTCAGAAAGGTTTGGAAGGAAGTAAAGTTTGAGCTTTTAAGTAGCCTGTTAAATGACTGTATTAAGCATCAGAATGGTAGGACTTGTGTATAAATGAAATGGTGTTATACTACCTGTGTTTTTATGTACTTATATGTATACATACTAGACGTTTTTATTTTCACTTCATCCATGAGAACTAGTTTGTCATGATTCACTTGAGGATTGGAGGATAACATGCTGGAATCTTAAGATTCATCAGTACCTTTCAAAGGGTTGAAGGGGTAATTAATCTTAAGAATGTGTTTTTAAATCTTGTTAACAATTGGGGATTGGATTGGGAAGAGGCAGAAGACAAAATGCTAAAAGAATGTGAAATAAAACATTTTTGCTTATACAGGACCTGAGATGGTATTGTGACTCTCCACATTATTATTATAGGTTTGAGCCTCCATCACATACATAAAGACAGATAATTTTTGGTTTTAAATCTGTGGAAAGTTTTGTATATTTCTTTAGTTCCCCTGATCCTTACTTGATTCATGCCGTGTTCCACTGGCACGTTTTATCATCATCACCATCCGATATTATTAAATGTCCTGTGTTTTAGGTTATATAAAAAGTAGGCTTGGAGTCATTGCAGTCTGTAAAAAGATGGTATGCATATGTACGCATCTAAAGCATATTGCAAATTAATTGAAGTACGTGGAAATAGGTATTTCTAGTGGAAACAAATTGATCCTATTTATTGCCTTTTGAAGAAAATTATACTTCATGGGTAAGTGTAATAAGCTATCCATACTAATCTAGCTAATGAATGGCTTGGCACAGAATTTGACGTACTGTGTGAATATATACAGAACCGGTGAAACTCACTAAAAGTAATGCGAATGAAGATAGAGTTATTATTGATGGCAGGTGATAGCATGACCTATAATGTGCAAAACAGCAGAAATTGGTATCAGAGAATGTAGGCAATTCTAATTTGATTGAGGACTTAGAGGAAGCCACATGGAATTAATTATGTCCAAGGAAATTATATTGCCAATGATCTGCAAGGGAGAATTTTTTTCTCCTGAGACTTTATAGTTTAGTGATGCTGAAATAGAATTAAGAGGAAGAAGTTGAATTTTCGTAAGAGTATATTCAGAGGATGGAGGCTCTGAATTTATTAGTAAATACATATTTAATACTGTGAGTCCCTTTAAGTTGCCTGATACTCTGGGCAGTTAACTGAACAGTGGTTCAGAGAGAGTGCAGAAGTTTTTATCAAGGAATATTATTTTTAGCATCTGTTCACCTGATTTTTTTTTTTTTTTTTTTTTTTCCTTTACAGTTTTCGGCTTTGTGAGAAACCTTATCATCAAACACAATGGCCAGCAACGTTACCAACAAGACAGATCCTCGCTCCATGAACTCCCGTGTGTTCATTGGGAATCTAAACACACTCGTGGTCAAGAAATCTGATGTGGAGGCAATCTTTTCGAAGTATGGCAAAATTGTGGGCTGCTCTGTTCATAAGGGCTTTGCCTTCGTTCAATATGTTAATGAGAGAAATGCCCGGGCTGCTGTAGCAGGAGAGGATGGCAGAATGATTGCTGGCCAGGTTTTAGGTAAGGTCTCTGTTAAGTGAATTTTTTCATTGATGATATAATTCAGGCCTGAGTTTTTCCATTCAGGGTTTTTTTCCCCTGTCTGTCAAACTGACAGCTTGAGATATTCTGCATACTGTGACTATTACTTCAGCCTAATAAAGACATTAGGCTTATAGTTTATAATTGGCTAAGTAAAGCATATTCTTCATTGTACCATTTTATGTAGTTGAGATAGAACAACCCTCAGTTGGAAATCTTCAGTAAGGGGAGCTGGGAATGACACTTTACAATGTAAAAATGTTGTCTAAATGGTTATGTCCTGCCCACAGCAGACTAGAGTCTTCTAGGGTTGGGCACTGGAATCGGACTTCTTGGTTTCACTCCTCTACCCGTTGAGCCTACTGCATAGTTTGACTGAGTCTTAGATTGTCTTGTGTGTTTTTTTTTTTTTTCTTTTCTTTTTTTTTTTTTGGGGACGGAGTCTCATTGCAACCTCTGCTTCCCTGGTTCAAACAATTCTGCTGCCTGAGGCTCCCAAGTAGCTGGGACCACAGGCCGGTGCCACCATGCCTGATCAGTTTTTTGTATTTTTAGTAGAGATGGGTTTTCACCATGTTGGCTGGGATGGTCTAGATCTCCTTACCTTGCGATCTGCCCACCTCGGCCTCCCAAAGTGCTCGGATTACAGGCATGAGCCACTGCACCCAGCCCTTGTCTTTTAAAATATAACGACAGCTTAGAATACTTACTACCTATGGTTTGGTTTATTCAAGCCGGAATCCATTGTTCACATGTATATTTGTGTATTTCATTTGATTAGTTGTGCTAGATGTCTTTTTTTTTTTTGAGGCGGAGTCTTGCTGTGTCGCCAGGCTAGAGTGCAGTAGCACCATACCAGCTCACTGCAACCTCTGCTTCCTGGGTTCAAGCAATTCTTCTGCCTCAGCCTCCCAAGTAGTTGGGACTACAGGTGGGTGCCACCACGCCAAGCTAATTTTTGGAATTTTAGTACAGAGTATTTCACCATGATGGCCAGGCTGGTCTCAAACTCCTGACCTCAGGTGATCCACCTACTTCAGCCTCCGAAAGTGCTGGGATTACAGGCGTGAGCTACAACGTCCAGCCAGATGTCTGTTTTTTTTGTTTGTTTGTTTGTTTTTTTTTTTTGAGACAGAGTTTCGCTCGTTACCCAGGCTGGAGTGCAATGGCGCGATCTCGGCTCACCGCAACCTCCGCCTCCCGGGTTCAGGCAATTCTCCTGCCTCAGCCTCCTGAGTAGCTGGGATTACAGGCACGCGCCACCATG